CATCTATGAACATGACAAAGTATATGTTGCCTGCAATCGAATCCACCTGGATTGGACTAAATGCATCAGAGTATATGACTTCCAGAATTGCCTTCGACTTCCTTTCTGCATCCTTGTTGAAGTTATTCTTGTGTTGTTTCGACTGAATCGACTCTTCACAAACTTCACTTGGAATATCGATTTCAGGTAATCCTGAAGCCATATTTTTTCTCTTTAGCTCTTTGATTTCATTGAAGTTGGGATGGCCTAGTCGAAAATGTCATAACCATTCATCTCTGCTAGTTGCAGTTGTTAGGCACTTGCGTTCCATCACATTGAGTTTAATCTTGAAGGTCTTATTATGAGACATTGGAGCCTTCAAGATCAACTTACCACCTGCGTCGAAAACTCTCATTATCTTGTCTTCGATCGACACTTCATAGTTCTTTTCGACTAGTTGTCCTATACTGAACAAATTACTCTTCATGTCTGGTATGTACAACACATTAGAAATTGTTGACCTCTTGTCATCTTTCCTCATAATCAAAACATCGCCAATACCTTCAACTGCTAGAGTATTGTCATTTGTAAATTTCACCATGTTCTTCGACGAGGACTTCATGTTGATAAACCAATATTTCCTTTCAGTCATGTGTGATGAGCATTTTGAGTCCAAGTAGCACTGATCCTGGAATATCTCTTCGTCTCTTGTTGTAACTAGGGATGTAAATGAATATCCATGGGGACGGATACTATGATATTCGTTCCGCCCCGTTGGATAAGTATGATATCCATATCCGCTCCATAACCATGCGGGTATCCGTTAAACGGGTTATCCGCGGATTTTACAGTATTCGCGAATATTTATAAATATTCATGGATAATATTTTTTTATAAAACAATTTTTTTGAATTTTTTAAACTTATTTTAAAGACACAAAAAATTATTATCACATAACATTCATACAATTTTCTCTTAATTTAACAAAAACAATTCATCACATTAATTTTATTCTTATTCACCAAAACATAATTATATTCAAACATAATATCCATACATTTTTTTTAACCAAACAAATAAAAGATATTGTGATTGTGAGTTATGATGAAAGAGCGGACGACAGAGGAGTAGGAAGGGAGACACTGGTTTGACAGAGGAATCACGACACTAGTTGGTTGGACTGTGAAATTGTTGAAGTGAGGTATGAAGTATTGAAGAATTTAAATATGAGAAGACTAATTTATTTTAGAAGATAAAAGATAAGGTATAATAAACTTAATGATTTTTATAATTGATTAACGGATATGGATATCCACAAGCATGGATATTATTAAACTCGTATCCATATCCATTAACAAACAGGTATCTAAATATCCATTTATTTTATCCGTGGATATCCATTAAGCTAGCTGCCCCATATCTGCGATGGATTTTATTCGCGGGTACGAATTTTTTTGCCATCCCTAGTTGTGACCATTAGTGACATCTTTTCTTCTTCATGTTTCGCCATCTTTGCATCAGTTTCTTGATTCTTCTTCTTTCTCGATATTTACTAAAATAATGATCATACTTCTGACAATTGAAACATTGAATGTGACTTTTGTCAGACTTTCGTCCATCACCTTTTTCTCTACCTGCAGCACTGCCTCTTTGGTTGCCTTGGTTCTAGAATTTTCTTTGATTCGACTAGTTTCCTTCCTGCTGATTTCAACCAGTCGAATTGTTCTAGTCTCCTCTACCTTTGTTGTCATTCCAGCTTCCTTTGTCTTTCTTTTTCTTTTCTGATTGCGCTTGCAAAGCCATGTCACTCTTCGACTTTCCTGCAGCTCTCTCAGCCATCATTTGTTCATGAGACTCAAGTGTCCTTTGAAGCTCTTCCTTCGTCAATGTTGACAATCCTTTCGACTCTTTTATGGCTACTACCATGTGGTCGAACTTTGAAGCCAACGGCCTTAAGATCTTTGCAACAACTGATATTGATGTCAACACTTCTCCACATACCTCGATTTGATTCACCAGCTTTGTAACTCTAGTGAAGAAATCTACTATACTTTCACTTACTTCCATCTGAAGCAATTCATAGGTTCTCTTGTGAGTTTGTAATCTCACCTCTTTCACCTTTTCTGCGTCTCCAAACGACTTTTCAAAAATCTCTCACACTTCCTTCGCTAATTCTACATCACTAACATTTTCAAAATTCTCACCTCTTTCACCTCTTCTTCAATGCTTTGAATGCAGCATTTTCTTGATCTGTCGCATTTTCAACAAGCGGTGCTACTCCTCTCTTCACAAAACCCCAAATATCTTGATAACAAAAAACCACCTTAATCTGCTTACACTAATTCTCATAATTATCTTTTTTGAGAATTAGAAGGTTTGTCATAAAACCACCTTAATCTGCTTACACTAATTCTCATAACTATCTTTCTTGAGAATTTGAAGGTTTGCCAAAAAGTGATCATTTAAATGATTCATCGCCATTACGATTTTTCTTCCTTGAATCGTAATCAGAGCTTTAGATACTAAATGTTAGAAATTCAACCATAATCTATAAAAAAATTCACTCGATCAATCTTGATTTCAAAATTGTTTCAACTCACATAAACAATCAATCAACGTGTCAATTACAATTATTATTTTATAGAAAAGTGAAGTGATAAAAAGTATAATTGACACGTTGAATTTTATTTTATTGTAAATGACGCATTGATTTTTTTCCTTTAAGACGAAGTGAATAATTAAAAAATAATGAATGGACCAATCAATCATTGTGTCAATTACAATAAAATAAAATTCGATTCACTCTAACTTAAATTCCCTTGATTGTTTAAGAAATATAAAATAATAATATTAGAGAAGTAAATCACCAAGACAATTCAAACACTTTGCATAACATATACCCAATAGTATCTATAAATTACTATAAACTACTACTAAAGCCTAGCAACATTCAATTTCACCAAATATCAATTAGGCAATGGAACGAAAGTAGCATTTGCATTATGGTAAAACTAATTTGCTATACATCAAAACTTGGTTTAAAATATTCATACAACAATCAATTTTATTTAACCTTATAAAAATCAATTCCTTTCAAAATAAGGAATAAACTCGCCCCAAAACACATAACCAAAAAAAACATTAACCTTCTGGCTAAATTGATGATAAATGACACGCCGAAACCACCCAAGAAAACTAGAAAGCATTCAACATCATCTACTACCACTAACTATCAAATGTTCAATATCCGAATTCATTTCTAACTTTTACCATTCAAGAAAACATTCAACATCTCTCACCGTGTTGTATAATTTGCATTTAATTATTCTGCAATTATCAAACATTAAGATCCAAATCCATTTCTAACTCTCTTTTTAAAAACAATATGAAACAGAGCTCTGGTGAGATAGGATCTACAAAGTAGGAAATAAGAAACATCTGTCTAACAAAGGAGAGAATCCTCCAGAGACAATGGTCTAATCCAAGCATGCTATGACCCCATATCATTGAGCCCTGAAATGAAGAAGAAATGGTATTAGGGTATTTAGCCATTGTTAAATATGTTTTGGTTCAAAATGCTGAACACTAGAAAACCTTACCAACAGGCCTTAACATATAGCATCCTGATGAACATTAGAAAGGATGAAGGTGTTGGACTGGTATAGAAAAGTAATAGATAATACCAATTACTATAGGGGAAATAGCAAACTCAAAAAATCACTATTTCTTAAACATATAACCAAAACAATTTAATACAGTTAAACGAATATTTTGGTGTAAAGTGGTGTAAAGGGGCGTGTTTGCTCAAAAACCGATGCTCTTCTTTCATGCACTAGAATGACTTGTGATAATCTGATGCTTTTTTTACCTCTGAATGAATACTCTTTTCATCTCAAATGAAAATAATTGATCCTATGGACAACTAATCAATATCTTATTAGCAGTTTAAATTCATCAAAGAAAATACCTCAAATGCACAAGGTAGTGTAAGTGTGCAACTGTAAGAAACTCCCATCTATTACTGGGGAACCCTACCCAACTTCCAAAGACAAACAGGAAATAAAATTCCTGAAAGTATGTGGGGTCTCGTTGACACAAAGTGGCTAAAAAAATATCATACATTTATTAGCTACGCAAGGCATCAGACTTAAGTAACACAGTTTAAAAGAAATACTCTGGCTGTTGGGATAGAAGAGAAATGAAAATTAGTTAGGGTTAAGCAGGGCAGTTAGATAAGTAAATATGGGATGTAAGGCTAGAAGGGGGTTGAGAGCGCAATCCTATTCTCAACTATTCATCCAATTTTCCAACTATTTGCTGCCGTTTCGCAGCAATATTGCATGATTGCACGCCTTTTCCTCAATTTAAGCTCAAATAGGATAAAGCTTTGTCTCGATAAACAATTTATTTGCAGCTTATAGCACAAACACATTATAATAACAGCTTATGTACAAGTTTACATAGGCTAATTTTATAGCAAAGGATAAAATAAAGTGTTTTCGCGTGGGCTATAAGCATTTCTATAAACATTTGAAAATTTATGAAAATAAGCTGAAAAATGTATACAGAATGTCATAAGCTGTTTTAAAAAATTCTCTCAAATAGTTTCACAAAACTAAAGAGGGTAGTAGATAAAGCTCAAATAAGTCAATCAGACAAAGGCAAAAAGGTCACAATCAGACAAACCCTAAACTATAATTGGATTCCTTCACTATTCGTGTCATGGGATTTTCCCCTCAACTAGTAAATATCTATCTAATCTTATGAAGTTACTAGTTCTATTGGAGGGCCTATCAGCACTTCTACACGAAAGGTTTCTTTGCATCTTAATCAAGAAAGAGGAAAACCCTTAGTTATCTTATTTCAATATGTTATGACATACAAGCTGATGCAATGCAACTTTGAATGCAAGAAATCAAATTGAAGCAGGTATGACATACAGTACATATTCAAAATCTAATTGAACCAAATTAAATCAAAACCACAAAAATGCAAGAACCAAAATAAGGAGATTACCCTCATTAACGGGAAGGATTGAGAGCCATGAGAATGTTCTTTCCACCGGGAAGGTAAGAGACATTAGGAGACTTGGCCAAAGTAGAGGCCACTTCCCTGGAAGCCTCAATCCTCCTAAGCTCAATCAACCCCATACCAGCAGACGCAGTAGCATCAGAAATCAGCTTCGCAGCATCACTTTCTCCCTCGGCACGGATAATTGCAGCACGACGCTCCTGTTCGGCCTTCATCACAACAAATTTAGACCTCTCAGCCTCTTGTTGTGCCACCTGCTTCTGCTCAACGGCCCTGGTATTGGATCATACACAGAATTAGTACACAAACGCCACTTCATGAATATCAAGCTCATAGCTTAGTATATTAGTAAGTCAGTTACAGTTAATGAGTAAGTTGCGAGTATAGTACTAGTAAATTAATTAGTACATTACAGTTAGCTAGTATAGTGAGTTAGCATTGTTACGAGCGAATGACTAACTTCGTCCCTAAAACAATAGGCACCAAAGTCATTAACAAATTAGTCCTAAAGTTAAATGCCTAACATCAAATCAGTCCATAAGGGCTACTCATGAATAACAAATTAGTCCTTATAATTACATTAGTCATTTAAATCTAAAATAATCAAGAATTAACAAACACACAAAACGTTTTTGTTGATGTATTAATTTGATGGCTCTATAGAATTTCAGGGACCAAGTTGGAGATTCACTCATATAGTTTGTGTAGAACTAGCACTTCAAATAGTTTGTGTAGAACTAGCACTTCAAATAGTTTGTGTAGAATTAACACTTCATATTGAAGTTGTGTTGTGTCTAGTATTCAATTAAACCCCCACACATGAGGTTTCGTTCAGAGCCCGTTTGTTATATAGTTCGCATGTAAAATACTTTCCTCAACTAAACATTCATTTTTGGCAGTTTTAATTATGTTTATTATCTAAGCATTTTAGACAGTATAATCACAATAAACATACACAAACAGTTTCTACTTCAAATAAAAATATAAAAAAGAAAAATCTGTAGACTATTTTGCCCTAAGCAAATATATCCATAACCACTTTCATTTCTTTAATTACTATAGGTGTCTGCATGTGTTAGCTATCCATGAAGCACGGACACTACAAACACGACCCGACTACCGATAGTAATTTAGAAAAATGAATAAATTAAACCTAATTATAAGTGTGTTGGTATCTCTATCGGACACTAAAACCGACAACAGACACGCCTTTTTTCAGCTTTTTTCAGCAATGTCGGTGCTACAGAGTTCACTATTCATAACATATAGTTTATTAATAAACTCAATTTCTCTTGAATAACAAGAAGCAAAGAATTATACCTAGAGAATTCAGCACCATAAGACAAATGAGTAATAGCAACATCATCAAGAAGAATATTGAAATCCTTAGCACGACGAACAAGACTATCCCTAACAAGCGCCGAAACCTGAGGCCGATCCGTCAAAAGCTGATCCGCGTTAAACTGCGCAACAACCGCCTTAAGAACCTCATTTCCAATCGAAGGAAGAACCTTCTCATCATACTCAAGTCCAAGATTCTGAACAATAGTAGGAAGACGCTGCGTATCAGGACGAGAGAGAACACGGAGAGTGAGATTCACCATCTGAAGATCTTTGGTACCGGAGATCGATGAGAACGTGTGAGGACGAGTACGAATGTCGAAGATGTAGGGCTTTTGAACCCATGGGATGAGAAAATGAGTGCCTTCGCCGATTGAATCTTCGAGAATGCCGCGGAAACGGTCGAAGAGGACGGCGCGTTGGCCTCCGTCGACGGTGTAGAGGGAGGAGTTGACGGCGGTGGCGGCGGCGCCGAGACCGAAGGCGAAGCGGGCGATGTTGTTGAGGATGGAGGCTGCGGCTTGGCTGCTTCCCATTTTTTGGAGGATTGAGAGAAAGGGTTTTAGGGTTCGAGGAAATGGAAGGAAAGGGTTTTAAGGTTTTGGTTTTCTACTTTTCTTTTTTTGTTTTCTATTTAATTAAAACGCTTTCTTGGAGAAGGGTGTTTTATCATTATTACAATTTCTACTATTGCAACCATTTATGTGAGTGCTCCAAAAATTTAGATGAGATGACACATTTGAGCTTTAGGACCTCAAATTATTTTTGAACTGTCATAATTTATTTAGGTTTTAATAAGGGATGGATTATGGTGAATTAGTGTATGGCAAAGTTGAGTTTGGAAATAAGAAAGGACTTAAGTGTTTAAAGTGGGTTAGTCGTTGATAATGGATTTGAGCATTCGAAGAGATGTAGTCGCATAAAAGGCATGAAAAGCAATCTAACAAAGTTTGAATCTATCACCCACTTAACACACGTGGAACGATAATGAAAGAATGTTGATGGTGGATGAACTAAATTAAAGTCTCGTCAGGGAAACTCAAATAAAGTCTCGCTTGAGTGACTCGATTAAAGTCTCATCAGGGGGGACTCAACTAAACTCTCGCTTGAGAAACTTAACTAAAGTCTCGTCATGGCGATTCAACTAAAGTCCCGTCATGGCGACTCAACTAAAGTCTCGCTTGAGAAACTTAACTAAAATTTTGTCTGATGGACTCACCTTGAGCCCTATTTAAAGTGTTCCATTTAAGGCCCCTTATGCGGTGTCTGAATGAAGGAAAATAAACTAAAACATTTCGCCATTTACAACTTACAAGCCTTCATGTTTGACAGGCTATGTATTGGTATATCTGAAAAAAGTCCACTAGAGGCGAGGCAGGGGCAGGGGACTTTAGTTGAGTCCATAATGCATGTGTAGTCATTCATTTTCTAGTTTGGGAATTGATGACACTTTGTTGTTACATAAAATTGGCAATTAGTTTCGATGGAATCAGCGAAATAATGAGCAAAAGTCAAGCAGACAAGTGAAAGAATTAAACAAAGTTGCAAAAGAATGAGAAATATGGACTTGGTGAAAAAATTGAAGAAAAGAGGAAGAAAATAATGATTTTTCTTCTGGAATTCTCGTGGTTGAGGTGTTCACACCGTGGTCGCAATATGAACTAACGCGTGGGCGCGGTGCACATTGTGATCGTGATATGAACCAACGCAGACACTATGCATCGAATTTCAAACATATATTTTGCAGCTTTAAAAGGAGAATTTAATTACTTCTTTGGGGTTCCGAATTTGAGATAGAAAGTCAAATTTAAGAATTTTTTTAGCATGATTTTATAGAGCATTGGAATCATTGGAGAGCTTATTTTTCATAGATTTTGATGAATACTCCTAATTAACTCATATTAATTTGTTATTGTCAATGTGAGTAACTAAGTTGTTTTATATTAGGTCTTTGGAGATGAACTTAATTGTACTCTATTGAATCATGTGATTGTTTGATACTATTTGAATTTTTATGTTATTATCTTATTTAATTGTTCTTGTGCTCATTGTCTTTTATGTATTGACGAACGCACAAATTAACATCAGATGAGTAGGAATTATTGATTGTAAGTTTACCAATCTGAACTAGGATAATTATTCGACTTAGTAATTAACTAGGAATATGTAATTATAAGTTGTTGCTTGTGAACTAACGAGCTTACTAACGTATGTTTTAACTCTGAATTGACCTAAGGAATTAGGAATTATTATGTAAATTACTGAGTTGTACACCAAGGAATTGGGTACAGGATGAGTACCCCATAATGATTTTGTTGTTTGTCTCTTAAGCTTTCGATTTGTTTATTATTGTTTATTGAGTCTCTTTTATAATTGCACATCCTTGAATTAAGTTTTGAATCCATTTCTTTTAGCATACATAATTTAATTATTTGTATTTGAGTATGATCATTATGGTTTAAGTCAATTGATTGAGTTAATGCAACATAAATTATATTTGATATTTGCCCAGTTATATGGGAGGTGAAATCTCAAACTATTTTGAAGAACGTGAAAATTGAGATTTATTGTATATGACTTGAGTCACGCATAATCCATGACTCGAATCAAATCAAACTAAAGAGAACAATATGATTTTGGTCTCTGTGACTCGAATCACAATTTAAACATGATTCAAATCACACGTCTCTTGTTAGCCACTTGTCATACCCCAATTTTGTCCTACCATCTATTTACTTTATAACTCATTATGCATATCGCATCACATTGTAACCTATAATATTCTCATCTGCATTCACATTTACATCTAGAATAAGTCATTTGACCTTTGGCCATGGACACTCATATTTAGACTTGGAGAATAGTTTTTAGGTCCTCATGCCTATGTTTACATTTTGGATCATATGACACTTGCATCATTATTGCATTTAAACGTAATTTAATATTTATCACTTCTCATTCATAATCAATTGATGCATTCATCATCTCAGGCATGTGTCTGTTTTGTATCTCTTTTTTGGTCATTTTAGCTATTTGTTTGAGACTTAGTGATTTCATAAATCATTAGGGTTTGAATTATAAGTTTTTGTTCTAAAGTTATCTTTGACATTCTTTAAGCCAAAAGGATTAAAAAGGAAATACTTGTCATTTTAAGTGTTTTGCATTTGGATTTTTAAGTCATTAGTCCATTCATTATTTTAAAATAAGTTTTTTCTACATTTTGCATCATTTTATATAACAGAGTAAAGTACAAAAAGAATGAATTAATAAAGAAAAATCTGAAATAGTTCAAATTGAAAATATTGCATTTTATATATTACATTTACATTGAGTATAAAAATTAAATATAAAAATAATACAAAAAATTTGAAAATAAAATATGTTTTTTACATTCATACATTTTAAATACAAAAAAAAAAAGTTTTAAAATAAAAAAGGTAGAAAAAGGGGTTATCCAAGTTTGTTGGGGTCCCCACAAGGCTTCCTCTTTATAACTTACTTTGGTCCATCATCATTGTCTTCATAATATAGTCCCACACCCTGCAGACAACCATACATCAAAAGCATTATCATCGATTATAGCATCCAACATCATAGCATATATACACAATTTGAATTTAAATGAATCATATCAAAATGAAAATAAGTGTTATGTGCAAATTTTGACTAAAATTGAATCATCTTTCTTTATATTTGTCAACTCATTTCTCATGTTTTAATAGATTTATTTCTTGTTCTTGTGTGATTATTCAATATATTGCAAATACCTTAGGATTCTTTGATGTGTGTGTTATTGTGCAGAATATAGGCATAAAACATCAATGATTAAGACACAGCCGATTAGACAAGGAAGCCAAAGAAATGAAGAAGAATCAGCATGTTTATTGTGCGAACACCAGCGAGCAGCAAGCGAATGTTCGCAGGATGAAGAAGCAGCAAAGCCCTCGCAAACCCTCCCAGATTAGAGGCAGTGGGAAAAAGGCCTAAAGTTCGCTGTGTGAAGAAGTATTCGCAACAAACTCATATATTTTTCAATGGCAGTTTAACTGTTCGTGAGGCACTTGAAGTGCTCAAAATTAGTATTTGATGGGCAAATAGGTGTTCGCTAAGCGAACAAGACAAAATTTGTAAATACTATTTAAGTGCTTTTCTCACTTTTTAGACATAACTTGTACTTTTTGGAATCAGAACTTTATCTCTCTTCATTTCAAACATAATTTTAGAGAGAGAAACAAAACCCTAAAAGGGAGAAGCCAAAATCAAAGAAACTCAGAGCTTGATCTTCGAGTAAGTGCTTCAATTTCTTGTTGGATATTGGACGTAATCTTTTGATACCTTATGTATTTCATCTAATATATGTATTGTGAACTAGTTTTTATTCAATATTGATGTTGTCTTTGATTTCTTATTTGTGGGTCTTGACAAAATCTTTGATCTAATATACTCATCTATCAATGAGCAAACTTTTGACACAGTCTTGCAAAGTGATATTTACTAGTATCACTTTTATTTTATTGTGTTGATTAGTAGCATGAGTAAGATCAATAAGGTAAAGACAATGATAACGTTTTTGACGCAAACGGTATTGTGAGGATGCGTGATAATAGTGATGAATAACTATGTTCACATACATTTGGCAAATTAGGTGAATGCATGTAAAAAGGGTTAAACATATGTACGTATTCTGATCATGGCGTTTTATGTGAATCAATCATGAATCTAATATGGGTGTCATCTTTGGATACCTATTAGGTTCTAGACTCTAGAAATATATTTAGGCTTAACATTTTCATGAGTATCAGTTATTAATGCTCTCTGTTGTTGAGTTGCGTGAAACATCACCAATGAGACAATACGATTGTTTTCTCGACGTTGTGTTAGACGTTGTGGGTGATATGTAAGGATATCAGAAGAATGATTGATTTGTGTTTAACTGGTTAGAAGAATGCACATGTTATAAATTTATGAGATCCACTCCGAATAAGGCTCCGTTTATATTTTAAGTCTTTACTTTATATTTTTCGTCTTTATATTTCCTGTCTTTATCTATTGTATCTTTGATCTTTCAACCATTTTGTAACTATAAGCTTAGAAATATAGAGACTGTTGAACGTCATTATTTTCCTCGCACTGATTCATGTGGAAACGATATAAATCCCGGAGGGAATCCTTCCAAATCTAAATTTTTTCTTTTTGCCGCTTTGCTGCAGTCAGAAAAATAGGCAACAACAACATAAAATGCATGGGTTTTTTTAATTCATCATCATCAGCGGGTAAAAAAATCATACCATAGACACTCATAAGCACCATTCATCAAACATCATTCAACATACATAAATTAACCACATAAATTATACATCATATGGAATTAATTGGATCTAAAACAAAACTAACAAGACAAATTTAAAGAAATTGCAATACACATGCTCATACTAACATCATTTGACAATTCACCAATCATCAAACCATACGTACATTCATAATAACTTACATTGATTTAACTTGGAACTAACACAGATAAGAAAAGCAAAGTTTT